CTCCATCACACTCAGGACTTCTCCCTCAAGAAGAGGAACACTTCTGAAGTCTCAGATAGACAAACAGCCATATACAAAGCTAATATTCCAGCTACACTTTAAAAAACCTTCATCCTTTAGTAATTCTTCCCCTGCTCTGCTCTACATGCTTGCTGTTCTGCTTTCTCTCACAAGGCACAGAAATGCAATCCAACAGCATGAGGCTGTGCCTGGCAGACAGGGACTGGGCTTTGAGCCCGGAGACTTGCGCTCTCCTCCTTTGCCACTTGCCCGCTGGTTGCCTCCAGCAAGTCGCTTGCTTTCGCTCTGCTGTTCCCTGCCTGCCTGCAGAACAGCAAACTCCTCTGTGGGCGATCCAAGGCTCGCCCAGGCAAAAGGCTTAGACATACCAGGGACTAGTAGGACTACTGGCTGCATTGATTAACATATGGTATTTTGAAAACAGATATTAAAAGGCCATTGGTAAGCTGAAATCAGGCAAGTGCGATATTAACAGTTGCTGGAGCGACCTTTTAATTCTGTCATATGCTGGTCCAAAGCGGCAGAGACACCATTAGAAAAAGCAGCAGTAAGCATGTAGACAAGAGCTTAAACGCTTACCCAGTCCCAGGATGAATTAAGGTTTCATGAGCAACCATAAAACTGACAGTCTAACTCTGAGCTCTGCCAGCCAATTCTGGTTGCATTGCACATGTTCTTACATGCAAGTTCTTCTTTCCTACAGAATAGTAATACCAAAATCCAACAGCCTGACTATTAAAATCCATGATATGTAGCAGAGTTAAAGAACACAGCTATGCTAACTGGAGACAGGGCCCTGTTGGGGGACACTCAGACTTCTCTACCTCCCTCCCTTCCACTGCGGATGAACCCAGAAGGAGCTGGCAGCACGGAGCCCATCCTGGGTTTTCCTCCTAACCCAGTTTAGGCACTGGCTCGGGTAGGACTGCTCATCCAACCCTGGTGACAGCCCAGCTCTTACAACTGTTGTCTCCAGCCTGAGATGTGCACACTGAACACAACCTGCCCACAACCCAGCACAGTGCACAGATGCCTTCACATCTGAGGTGACGCTGCCCACAGCTGTGTCTCTGGCACACTGTCCCTGCTGGGGCAGGGTTTTCAGTCCCCTGCTTGCCAGTGGCTTTATTTAGCTATCTCTCAGGTTGCCAAGAATTTCCCGTGGAATGTGAGCAGCAGGAGGGAGATTGTTTTTACAAAGTTTGTAACCCCCTGAAACATGAATGGAATTTCCACGGAAAATGATGGTGCAGATGTAGTACAATCACCTTCTTCCCGAGGACTTTGAAAAGTCAAGAGCAAACAAGAGAGAGATAAAAGCATCTCAGGAAAGACTGCCAGACCCTTCTATAGGAAGTCAGTGACCTAAATGTCAAATTGGTCATCCCTGCCTAGGAAAAAGTATCAAAAAAATTTTTTTTTTTTTTTTCAAAACCTCTCCTCCCTTCCTCCCTGTCAGTCAAAGTTGGTAACAGCTTGACAATCCTTTTTATTAACACATTAGCACTGTGGGTTGCATTGTTTTCTTCACTCTACATGTGGGAATTCTGGTCTTGGATTGTGAGCCAAGGCTAAAAAGTTGCTCACAAAGTCATGCAGCTGTGTCCCCAAGGGCACCGTCCTCTCCTCAGCACCACAGATCTATGTCACTTTGAGAATGGATCCACGACAGAAAAGTGAGTCCCTGAGACACAGTCTATAGACTAACATGCCAAGGCTGCAAACAGCCAACAGTTTTTCCTCGAGGCAGCCTTCAAAGCGCCCTCCCAGCTGGAAAGTCTAAACACCAATGTCTCCTCTTCAAGCAGGCAGCAAACTAACAACTGGCCTCAGCTGCACCCCAGCTCACCCCACGGCTCCCTTCTCCCCATGGAAGGCTGGGCCAGCCCTGCCCGAAGCAGCCTCTTCCTACCTCAGTCTTTCAGCCCTGAAGGCACAGGCATGTTACTTCACAGCTTCACCCCCTTGTGCCCAGAGCAGGCCAGGCACAACTCGTGCATGACCTGGCACGATGAGGATGCCACCTCCCAAGAGGTCACTGCTCTGGGGTAAGTCCACATGACACGACACCGCTAACCGCAGCTCCAGGAAGCCTGGGACCCAGCCACAGTGCTCTCGCTGCACTCCGCAGAGGCTCAGCTGAGATGTCTCCCCACTACCCACGGACAGGAGGAGCTTCACCAAACCCCCCCAGGTGCCCACTGTGGCTGTGAGTAACAGCTGCTGTCAGAAAGTCACTGTGGAGAAAAAAGCTTTTAGAAACATGCAGGACCCAGCAAAGAAGACCCTCATCAACACCAGTTTTGGATGGATGCAATCTATGCCACAGAGACCCAGGGAGAAACACATGAGAGAAAACAGGATCTTGTTGTATCCATTAAGTACTGAGACATTTTGTAAGGCAGCAAACCATGTCTGCAGAGCCCAAGAGTCTAGAGGTTCCCAACATGGTAGAAATAGCAAAGGAAGATTTGGACAATACAGACGTCTGTAACAGAAGGGGTATAAACAGCCAAATCGGGTCACAGAGGAATAGCACTGGAGAGCAGGCAAAATAAAAATAGCAGGAAAGGAAAGATAAATAAAATTCCTAAAATATACGATGAGCAAACAGAACGACAAGAAAACAAGAGGGCCATTGAGCAAAAAGAGGAGAAGAGCCATGCATAGGCAACCAGGGAAGGCTAGGGATTTAATCCAGCTCCAGAGGAGAGGGCACAGGGAAGAAAGAAGACAGCTGAATTATTTCATTGCAGTGGCAAGGAGGGGAAGAGGAAGATGACTTTGTCAGGAAATTACAATCATCTGCAGTTAGGAACAGCAGCACTGGCTGAGCAGTTTCACATTCAAGCTGGAAGGCAGGTGACATGCACAGCTGGTCTTCCACCGCGCTGGATGCCTGCGGTGGCCTCCCTCTCAGCACCCACCAACTCCCTGCTCTGGTGGCTTGGTCTCGCCTCCAGTTCTTCAGCTAGGTGAGACTATTTTGGGAGAGCATTGAGCGTGGTAGGTTAAAGAGGGTTCAGTAACTCGTGCATTGGGGATGGCACAGAGGCAGACTCGTATAACCCTGCATAAAGACAGAAGCAGTCCCTGCCATTCTTACTGCTCGCTGATGCACCTCCACTGCTACCAAGGCAGCTCCTCTGAAACCTGGTATAAAAAGCAGCTTCTTGTCACTGTCTTCTCCCAGTGATTTTTTCTGCCTGTGACTTTCCATTCTCTCTAGTCTCTGAGATGCAGCCACCAACCACAAGAGGCTGTTATTGTCCACATAAATCCTTCTACAGCTCCAACAATGTAGGGTTTGCCCACACAGCAGGGGCACAAACCCTCACACTTTTCCCCTCTTATTGTCCATTCCTCCCTCTATCTCAGCCAAAAACATTCATTTGACAGGTAAGAAGGGGAAAGCTGACTTACAAAAAAAAAAAAAAAACAAAAAAAAAAAAAACAAAAAAAAAACATGCCAAAATTCAAGCAAGAGATGAGCCTGGAAAGACTCAGGATAAGTGAAACACCAACAAGCAGCATGGCAGCTATGGAACAAGAGACAACGTGAGTCTGGAAAGGAGTGTCTATTCTCTGCCTGGTCCTGCAGACCCTGTGTCACAGGGAGCCTGAAAGGGCCTGTCTGCAGAGCCCATCTCCTGTCCTGTGGGCACAAGGAGGAGGTACACACTTTGCGATGGCGGGGCACTACCCAGCCATTTCAGCCAGGGGCTGAGGACCTTCACCCATGCACGGAATGGTCAGCCCTGCCTCCTGCAGGCAGAACGCCGGGACTCCCTCATGCTCATTTCCAGCTCTTCACCTATCACAGAATGGGACTGATGAAACAGCAGTTTAAAAAACGTTGTGTGGCTGTACTTTTTAATTATTTTTATTCTTCACTATTTATCCAACTTCTCTCTTTTTTTCTTTCTTTTCTTTTTTGTCTTTTCTTTTTTTTTTTTTTTTTCCTCTTTTTAACCCAGCCAGGGTCAGTTTGGCTCTTCCAAGCCATCCTCTATGACTGGTAAGACTGGTAACTTACCTTTTCAGTGAAACTCATGGTTCTTACCTAACAGGAAAAAACACAGGTCTCTAGAGATCTCAGGAGGTCTCCAGGCCAGCATCCTGCTGCAAGCAGGGTCTGATCTGAGCTCAGACCTGGTTATTCAGTGCTTTATTCAGACTTGTCTTGAAAGCCTCCAAAGATGGAGAAGGTACAACCTCTCTGGACAACCTTCTCCACAGCATGGCGGAAAACTTTTCCTCACATGCAGCCTCTCTTCCAGCTTACGCCTGCTGCTTCCCATCCTCCTCACCTGGCTCTGTCCTCCCAGTGCCACCAGGTCCCTGCTGCCCCATCCCCGGGCTGAACCAGCCCCGCTCCTAGCAGAGGGCCCTGCGCTGAACCCCTCCACTCCATCAGTGTCTTTCCCCAGGGGGCACGGAACCACATCGCGGGTTTGGGGTTCACAAATCCTACATGACTCCATCAACCTGGAGAGCTCAGCAGCACCCGGGGCCGCCCCGAAGGGCTGCGTGACGGGGAGGGCTGCGTGGCTCCGGCCGGCCCCTCGGCACCCCCCAGCCCCTCAGCGCCGCCCGGACCTGCCCGGGCCCCTCCGCTCCCCTCCCGGCGGGCCGGGGGGCGCCGAGCCGGGAGGCGGCCCCCGCCACTCCGCCCACCGCCACCGCCCCAAGGCCGCCATCTCCGCGGCGCCGGCCGCCCTCTGCCGGCCGAGCCGCCGCTCCGCAGCCTGCAGGGAAGGGCCCCCAGGGGCCCTGGGCCTCCCGGCCCCGCTGGGTGTCCGCCATCCCCGCTCCCCGCACCGGGCACCGGCCGCGAGCCGTGAGCAGCCGGTCCCGGCCGTGCCGCCGGGGGAGAGAGCGCCCAGCCGAGCGCCCCGGGCACCCTGCGCGCCCGCGGTGCTCGCACACGTCAGGCCCCGGTCCCCCCTTTACGCGCACACAGCGCCGTGAGTACTTACTGCCTTGTGAGGCTCCTTCACCTGAGGCAGCTTCAGTGTCTGCAAAGAGAAAGAGCTGCACTTAGATCTGACAGCAGACTCTGCCCCACGTCTGAGAGCACGCAGCCTCGCAGCTGCCCCAGTTCCTTGACCGCTCGCTCGTCTCCAGCCGCGTTGCGGCACCCCACACAGCGGCACCCCACACAGCGGCACCCCACCACAGCGGCCCACGATGCCTGCAAGGGCTGCCACCACTCAAACTTTTTCTGCAGTGTCGCAGAAGCTTGGTTTTGAAGCAGGACGGCTACGAGGGTGCCCCTACCCCAACCCTGCACCCTGAGGAGCAAGCCCCCCACCTCTGGCAGCCTGCGGCAGGCTTCGTTGAGGTGCTATGTGTAAGGGTCTGATCACCAGCTTGGCTTAGCCCAGCAGAGGTGCTCCATCCAGAGCCCTCGTGGGCCCCACAGGCAGCACCAGGTTGTGGGACACTCACTGGCACGGACTCAGCCCCCCTGGGAAAGTCCGTGCTATCACCCCTCTGGTCTCAGGCCAGCCTGGGTCGCAGCGGAGTAGGGGACCATGTATCTCAAGGCAGAGGGGTCGTGTCTGAGGTGTGCCTAGACTGACTGACACAACTTAATTGTCCCAGTGTTATTCGTGGAGCTCATGATGATACGTTTTGTAATTCCTGCTGAAGGTTTGTGGAAATCGCTCATGTGCTTAATTCCTGGGCAAACGCTGTCAACCCAGGAAAGCAAATGGTGAACAACACATCCAGCTCGGTCTCCCCTGGGAGATGCACAGCCGGCACTGCTGCCACGTCCCTGGAGACTGTGTCCCCTCCTCCAACAGCAACGGCAAACCTCTGTGAGAGATGGGCCATGAGCCACAGGAATCCCCCCGGGGCTACTCCATCCTGCTTTACTGAAGACATATGTGAAAAGATGGGAGAGAAAGCCCCCTCCACTGTAGCACGTGTGACCGCAAGCAGCACACAGCAAAGATTACGTTCAAGCCCTAAATGAATGCAATGGGCAAAGCTGCAAGCTGGAAAACAAAACCCAATGTTACAAGTCAAGGATCATAAATGATTAGGACTTCCAAGCCATTTTGAAGTGTTTCATATTCATCCAAAGCTGCATATACCGTATGTCACGTTATCTAATAACATAACTACATTTCAAAATATTCCGTATGTCTCTTGGAATCATGCTTGCATTACTCTGAAAACCACAGCTGTGGAATGTCACAGCATTTTTAAATTTAAAATTTGCAACCTTAAGTAATAAACACTGTTTGCATTTAATTTCCTTCTTGTTTCTTAAAAAGAATACAAATAAATGGCTGTGGATTTATGAATTTGTACATTTCTTCCTGATTAACCTGCCCGATTAGATCACTTTTCTAGGCAGCAAGATTAAAGAGTATGCAATTAATTTGGCACAATTTCATAAACTGAGGGGCCAGATTAGAAAGCCTCAGTATCATATGCAAAACCTCAAAAGTCAAACCCCTGTATTTTTCCACAGCTGCTACTTGTTTGAATTACCACCTATCACTCAAGGAGAAAGCTAGCTGTGGCACAATGGAGTTCTGCAAAATACTGTTCTGGCGTTCACAGACAATGACATAAATAGACCATAAAAGGTATGTAGTATGCATGCACCAGACTATTTCTGTCATTTAAATAGCTTTTAAAAGTACTTTAGTTAAACATAACACGAATCAAGCAACATGCAGAGGTTTAAAGAGCAGCCATTTCTGTACTGTGTTAAGAAATGCTGTTACTCTTAGTCATAAGGTAGACTAAAGGCTTCATTGAAAAAAAAAAGAAAAAAAAAACAAAAAACCACAACAACTAAAAATCCCCTAACAGCCCATTCTAAATCACCTTTGGGCTGAGACCAAGTAATTGCAGCTTTAAACAAAAGACCAATTTCTGAGAAAGTTGCAAAAGTGAGAGTAGGGAGGTCAAAAGGAGAGCTGGAAAGCAAGCAAGTTAACTGTTAACTCCTGTGTCTCAAGTAACTTTCTGTATCTCCTATAAAAATTTGCCACAGAGTGTGAAATGCACAGTGGAGAAAAAAAAAAAGGATGCTTGGGATGCAGCACAGAGGGTGAAATGCCTGCCCCAAATATCCTATGATTTTTCAGTAGCAGATAATCATACAAATGACTCCCAGGTTTCTTCAGCTCAAAACCACCATCTCTCCTCAAGAATGGTTATTTCTCTATTAATTTTCAACTTCTCACCTCAAAATTGTTTCAATCACAGAACTGCTCCAACTCAACACTCCAAAAACATGAACATAGGAAAAATGCTTTTTTCCACATTCACAGTTTGAATGAGCCATCTTCCTTTTCATATTTTTGGAACTAAGCAGAAACCATCCTTGCAAAGCACCTACTGGAAACTCCAGAAGCTCTGAGAATTTTTAAGATCATCAAACAATTGGTTAAACTAGAAATTTCACCTGAAGTCAACAAACCCTACCCTGACGGTGCTGTATCAGGCCCTGGGCTAGCACACGCATGTGGAAAGGTAACAGAGAACCAGTCTGTTCTCAGGGAGGCACTGCAGCAACTAAATAATGTCAATAAATAATAAAGAAAAACAGCTCAAGCAAAATCATCTTTCAACCCAGAAAAGCTTATCTGGAAACAGGGAACTTCCACCAATTATTACAGCGGAGGCGATATATCCTGCGAGGGTTAAACTTGAATCTTGCTATTTTCTTTCATTTGCTTTCTGAAGAATTCTCCATTGGGTAAAAATCTTGCTTGCTTGGCCTCAGCCCAGAGGTTTTTTAATTTACTTTTTGAAAGTCTAATAAAGTAATTTCAGCCATTTCTGAGTTATCTAAAAGTGAAATAATTCTCCTCACTCAAACCATGCCGATGTTTCGCTGCTCATGTTGCTCAAATACAACTGAACCGTACAAAACAAAACTTTCTAGCTGACTAATTCCTGAAGAGACTCCAAACCTTCCAATGACTTGAAAAGCCCCATGTAGCTAAACAAAAAGTACTGTAAGCAACACATTTCTGAGGCCTGGGTTTCCTGTAGGTGACGCAGCAACGTTTGTCCATGCTGACAGCTGGGACAGTGCCCACCAGTGCAACCAGGAATTTGCAGCCTCTCTGCTCCAGCCCAGCTCCAGCAGCTCTGCAGGGAGAGGAAGGAGCCCTGGTCCCGTGGGTCTGCACAACAGCTCACAAAGGAGCCTTTCAGCCCAACATTTTTATTTTCATTTTATTTTTTTTGGATTTTGGGGAGGCACAGGGTAATAACCTTTTCACTTCTCATTTCTTGCAATCTTTTCATTTCTTCCTAGATAATCTGTAGTGAGCAAATTTCTTACCTATGTACCTGACTCTTGGCAGAGTAAAAGAGGGATTTTTACATGGGGTTCCCATGCCTGCAACTGGGCTTTCAGAGCAAAGCAGAAAGGGAGCCTGCAAAGCAGCAGTTCTTTGACAAAGAGCTACCTCGACCCTTAGCACTTGCAAAGTACCAGGAGATCAATCGCTCCCTGAATTCCTCCAGCCAAGCAAAGCACCATAGAGAAGGCTCAATAAACTATGAGGATGCCCAGTTTTTTATTAAGAAACCACCATTCCTGAAGGCAGATGAAGAAAAAAAAGTCAGCCTGAAGAAAATCACTGTCAGCACAGCTTCTCTGCCATGGACATTCAGCGAGTAGGCAAGTGCACATAAAGAAAAATCTAGGAAATTTCTATTGAAAATGATCACTACAAAGAAGAATGTGATTTTTACGCCTTAAAGATGTCACCAAGTGAGAGTCAACGTGGAACTGAACAACTCAAAGGATGAGAACAAATTTAGGTCTTGTGTGGGCTAAACCAATGATCTGACAATTAAGGACAAAAAAGGAGAGGGTCAAAGACCCCATGCCTACACCAGCCCCAAGCTCCCCAGCTACTGCTGCTACCTTGATACCAGGCTGCACAAAACTGAGTTTAGAAATAACCCAGTGCTAAGCAAGGACAATCTGGGACCTTTCAACCTCCCCTCCTGGGAACAGAACTTGTGTCACTGATTGAGAACAGCAGGGCTGGCTATAGAGATGCTTTTTCATTTGTTCTGTCCCAAAGTAATTGTGTTGATCAGGTTTGAACCTTTCTCCTCTCCCACAACAGGAAATAGCTGATGATCCCACTGGATCACCAGCTCTGTCCATCTGCAGGGCCTACACAAATCCTGTTAGTGACACAGCAATGGCACAAGAAAGCAACAAGCAGTGGGGCTGTTCAAGAGGAAGGAGGATATCCTTCAGTGCTTAACAAAAAGTTGGTAATTCTGCTTGAGGGCCCAAAAAGCCCTGGAAGAAAGCACCCAAGGAGAAGAAAAGCAGCCTGAGCTTGCTCCAGTTATTTTGACGCTGAGCTGGAGAGCTGATCCTGCACCAGCCAAACCCTCAGGCAAAGGCAGGTACTAGGTGTCTGACGCATGGTGGTGGCTGATGCTCAGAAAAACCATCAGGCAAAGAGGGAATGCCAGGTCCTGCCACTGCTCCTTCCATGCCCAGTCAGAAGGGTCCAGGATCTGCATTTCTGGCAGCTGATGATTGCACAGAATAGGCCAAGGGAGCTCAACTCACAGTACTTCGGGGACAAGCAGAACTAGAAGAGCTGGCTTGCCAGTGCTTTGGGATTTGATCCAAGACGTGGACTGCAGATTCACAGGGAGAATATGAAGAGTGAAGAATCACACCCTCAATGATAACCAGAAGGTTATCTCATATTTGTTATGGTGGCCAATACCAGCCACTGCTTCTACATAAAACCTTATATACTTGTTGCAATAAAAGCATCTTCCAACAAAATTTCTTTAAGTCCTATGGTCTTCTGCTATTTCCAGCATTGTTTCTGGCTCAGCTGTGTCTGACTCTCAATGGATAATAGGACACAGAGCTTTCCTCCATACAGGCCTTCTTTATTATTATTTTTTTAGGTATACATGACGTGCACATTCAATAGTATATTATTTGTCTGCAGATAGGTACACTTCTAAACTGCTTAAGCAGCTAGTTCAGGGACTGTTTCTTGGAGAATCACATTTACAGAGTTGCATCAAATTTTCAATTTGATTTCTTGTTGACTAGTATAGAAGAATAAATATCTCATTTTGATTTTTATTGTCTTAAGGCAATTTAAATGCACTTTAAATGTTACCACTGCATGCATCAATTTACAGCAAGATAAAACAACACTTTCTAAGTTTTACATACATAAATTGTGCTTCTCCAGTGCTGACATGAAAATTACTAATAAATTTCCACATACAAAATTTTGAAAATTTCCATCTTCTGTAGCTACACATAAAAAAGACAAAAAAAAGAAGCAAAAGGCAAAACAATGTCTCCACTGAGTTTGTGGTAAACCTACAGATATCAATTGTACATGTGTGTGGTGATGAATCGAGACCATTTGATGCATACCTTAATTTCATTTGCAATATAAATAAATATATAAATACTAGTAAATTGAATCACACAATAGAAGCTGATCTCATACTAATGCAGCTCCTACAAATTCCTGTTGCAGTAAGGATCCCACAGTGCTTGTTGGAGAGAGGTAAAATAAAAGCAATCCTTGTCCCAAATTTAAATATTGCTATCATTATTATAAAATTATTGCAATGCTGTGAGGCAACAGTAAAGCCCTCTGTATGTCAGCAAACTATTAGAATCACAGAACCATGGAATGGTTTGGGTTGGAAGGGACCTTGAAGTCCATCCAGTTCCAACCCCTGCCCCCAGCCCAGGCTGCCCCCAGCCCCATCCAGCCTTGGGCACTGCCAGGGATGGGGCACCCACAGCTCCTCTGAGCAGCCTGGGCCGGGGCCTCACCACCCTCTGAGTAAAGAATTTCTTCCTCATATTTAATCTAAACCTACCCTCTTTTAATTTAAAGCCATTACCCCTTGCCCTATCACTCTGCTCCCTGCAAAGAGTCCCGTCCGTCCCCCCCCACCAGGGCACTGTCAGGCCGCTGTAAGGTCAGCCTGGAGCCTTCTCTTCTCCACTCCCTCAGCCTGTCTCCATAGGAGAGGTGCTCCAACCCCTTGATCATCCTCGTGGCCTCCTCTGGACCTGTTCCAACAGCTCCATATCCAGGGGATTGTCCTGGCCCAGGTACAGGACCTTGCACTTGGCCTTGTTGAACTCCATGAAATTGGTACAGGCCACCTCTCTGGCCCGTCCAGGTCCCTCTGGATGGCAACTGCAGCATGGCAACTGCACCACACAGCCTGGTTTCATCTGCAAACCTGCTTGCTGCGGGTGCACTCAATTCATGTCACTAATGAAAGTATTAAACAGTACTGGTCCTAGTACAGACCTCTGAGGGACACCTCTCATAACTGGTCTTCATCTGCACATTGAACCTTTCACCACAGCTCTCTAGATGAAGCCATCCAGCCAGGTCCTTACCCACCAAATAGTCCTCCCATCAAATCCATGTATCTCCAATTTAGAGATATGGATGTTGTGTGGGACCGCATCAAAGGCTTTGGGCAAGTCCAGGTAGATGACATCAGTTGCTCCTCCCTTGTCCACCAATGCTGTCAATCTGTCATAAAAGGCCTCCAAGTTAGTCAGGCACAATTCTCCCTTAGTGAAGCCATGCAGGATGTCTCCATCACCAGTTTTCCAAGTCCCTTCCTTAGTATGGCTTCCAGGAAGATCTGCTCCATGATCTTCCTGGGCAAAGAACTGAGGTTGACCAATGTGTAGTTCCCTGCATCCTCCTTTTCACCCTTTCTCAAAATGGGGGTTATGCTTCTCCTCCAGTCACTGGGGACTTTCCCTGACTGCCACAACTTTTCAAATATAATGGAGAGAGTGGCTTAGCAACTTCACCTGCCAGTGCCCTCAGGACTAGGTATGTTCCAGGAACCATATTCAGGTTCCTCAGACAGTCACAAACCTGATGTTCTCCTACAGTGGGTGGGGCAGTTGCCACTCACTATTATTTTATGGATTTTTTTCTTCAACTGCAGAGCGAAGCTAGTTTGTAGCAGTTATTTAAAGGACTTCTAGGAGTTTTGTTGGCATTTAGAAAGAAATACGAGTACCAAAAACCAATTATGCATCTATCTAAGGATACAGAAGAAGCTCTATGATGTTAAACAGCACACAAGAACTATGCAACCATGCAATTAAAGTATTTACTGTGACTGTAGACTCTGAGAAGTTTCAGATGCATGCTTCCTTTTCAGCTGTGCATTTGCTGACTTCTGAGAGTTTAAGCATTTAAGATTTAACACTACATTAGCATTCATTATTCCTGGATTTTCAGTTTTCATTGGGAGATTCCCTTATGTGCCTTCAGACATTCCAGTCAATTGTTTAATGGAAGACCAAGAACACTAATGTTGCTAGTGAAAAATGAGGAGATATCGCAGATGCTCCTACAAGTCTGACACACTTCAGTGCTTAACTCAGGTGGAAGAAAATAAAAACACCGAAAGGCTTGTGATCTAGTTTCAAGTCCCTATGGTTTTGCTATTTTAGATACGTATTTCTCCAAATTATACATGCTACGCTAATTGTACAAAACAGCCAAGCAAAACTTCCCCATTTCTGCAATTAAGTAACTTGAAATTAGCCACTTACAGAAAATTCAGGAAAAAGAAAATCACTTCTGACTAAGCACAAGAAATTTCATGCAAACAATACATTTGGAAAGTGACCTCAGCAGGGGCACGGGGATGATTTCAAGCATCATTTTATGTGTAGCATGAAAACACAGAAGCATACCACTGCCAGCATAAAGTGAGATACACAATTCAGCAGCCTGTACTGTGGGCATCCATAAATAGTAACGAACATCAGCACCTGATGCGTTTTACTGTGTGTAATCCTTTTCCATGAATAAAAACAACCCTCTGCACAGGTACAAACATCCTGAAGTCCTGGATTTTGCCTGAACTTTTTGCCTTGGTCTGTAACCGTCCTCCACCCAGACACAGCAGGGGTGGATCATAACACCTCGGGCAGGTGCCTACAGTGCCTGAGGCTGGCACATGATTTCATCTGCCAGGAGAGACTTAGTGATTTGCAGCTCTCCCAACACACAGCAATGCCGCAAACAGCCCCGTGCAGTAAATACTGCAGTTATCCTACTGCAGCAAGCACAGCGGCTGGCCACAACTTCAGGAGGAATACTGCTGGAGTGGAGAGCCACAGAGATCAGAGAGCCAAAGAGATTATCCTACAAACGGGCTACCCAAAAGAAGCATTAATGATGGACAGAGAAGTGGCAGAGCAATCTTCAAAGCCTTCCCCAAAATATTCCCTGAGCGTGAATGTTACCCCAGGATTCCCAAATATTTGAGCAGGAGAGAGATACCTCTATGAGCTCGCACATGGGTCTGGAAACAGTTGTAATACTTGTATTTCTTCCCACATATTCCACACTCATAAGATCCTGAAAAACAAGACAGAAAAGCATACAACGCCATATTAGATCAGGAAAAACAGCCTCACCATATACTTATCCGTAAACCAGGAACAAAAAAAATGCAGTTTGCAGCAAAGTAATTTTTGGAAGATTCATGGAGATAAATGCAGGAAATCACTACGCAGACTCTATTCCTTTTACAGCCTTATTTAAGATTCCTTGACATATTACCCTGAACTTACATTTTCAGTATATCTTTATAAATTTGCTAACATGAAAGGGCCACTCTCAAAATAGCCTGACTTATAATTTTATAATAATGACTAATATTTCCTATGGACAGAAATAACCTTGAATTACTTTTCAGTAAGTTCCTAGTAAATGGGAAAAAAGCTTTTCAACTGAAAAAAGAAGGCAGTATGTTATCTTGAGGCAAGTAGTTTTCAAAATTTCTCAAGAAATGCACAATGTACAAATTTCTCAGGAAACCCACAGAGATTTGGTAAATATCCACCCAGAGGAAACCAAATAGATACAAATAGAACTTTTGACCTTTTTAAGGAAAATCACATGACCACAGTAGTCTCTCTTCTCAATTTGTGTATCTAATTCCAGAAAACACACATCTGCAAATAGTCATTTGAAATGAAACCAGAGAAAGAGAGCTGGGAGAATCATTTGTAATGATGAAATTATGCAATGAATTTAGCCTCTTCTGTTTATTGGACAGGCAGACAGAAATTTCCTCAGATTTGTTATTTAAGATGATTCAACCCTTTTTTCCCACTCCATTTTGGCAAACAGGCTGTAAGTTAGACTTTAAAGCTCTCACTTGCAAAATGTATTGCATTTGTTAGCTGTCCATCAGCAGGTAATTAACAGATCCTGTATGTCCTATCTGGTAGAGCAAGGACAGCACTCACTGGAAGAGGAGGTGGGAGAAGGCAGGACTGAGGATTCTTTAGTGTGAACGGAGTATTTCCTTTCCACGGACATGCATGCAACCTTGGAAAAATCTTCCTGATCATGCGAAACAGCAAAACTCAAGGATGGGCCACAAACAAGAACACAACATTCACGCTCACGTCCAAATAAACACTTCCAAACATCATATTACAGCAATACTTACTGTGTGTTACTCTTGAGTAAGGTCTTTCCAGGAACAAAATCAAACATGTTTTTTGAACACACTGTACACACATTCTTTCTTCTCTATGTCCTATTGCTTACAGCTTCTGAAGAAAACAACCCTCCTCCCATCTCACAGCCATGCTGAATTCCCTGCCCATCACTGTTAGCATCACTTAGGACTCTCTTTTGAGCTTGGGAGGATACTTTGTCACTGATGCTCAGACACGCAATTCGCAATAGCCCGAACACAGGAGAACACATCTGGAAAAACACTCTAAAATATGGACGCTGTAGTCAGTTGACTATGATCTGCTCCACAGCCTCTTATATTGTACCTAGCCGCATTTCCCGTATACAGATACAAATAGATGGGACAGTCATCACCAATGGCCACTCCACTCAGGTTATCCTAAGTGAAATCCTGGATACCAGCAAGTCAGCAGCATCTGCCAGCCCTCATTGTCCATGCTCAAAGACTGATGAAATTGATCGCGAATCTCCACAGCTCTTTTCTGAAAACTATTCCAGCCAGAGTCCCAGAGCAAGCATGGCCAGAAGATGAGTGCGCTCCCGATCATTTGGGCCATTCCAACCCGTAACCTTGTTCAGTGCCTGAGGTTCAGCTGTACCACCAGCAAACTGAGACTGCCGCCCACCCATGCCCCTAAAACAGTGCTGCGCACACACAGAGCACTGCAAAAAATAAAAATAGATGAAAACCAATTAGGGGCTCTGGGCTGATTTCACACACACATACCTCCCCCCCCATCCACCAGTTCTTGTATTTCTCCCCTCCTCTGCAGGTGGTATAAGGCACATAAATGCATTTGCTTGTGCAGAAGTTCTTCAAGAAGAACATAAGCCATACAAGTGATTGCATAGTGTCTTCCCTTGCCAGAATGCAACCAAACCGGCACTGCTGCCCCATGCAATGGGCTCTGCCCAGGAAGCAAGGGCAGGAACTGAAGGCAGGACAGAGCCCACTGCATCTCATAGCAAGTGCTTTGGTCCCAATATCCCCTGTGACTCAGCTCGCACATGTAACGTGGGGGAGGCTACAGACAGCTTTGCCAGGGGCACCTCTACCCACCTCCTGCCTGCAGGTGGCCGAGCACTGCCCCACAGGGACTGCAAGACAGCCCAACAGCCCCAGCTACGTATGCAGCACACCATGGTGGGGTCAGAGGCACAGATCCCACTGTGAAAGGAGGGAGTGTTTGCCGCAGTAACTATTGTTAGAGTTGCCTAGAGATTAAGTGAAATAACACATGCTAAGGCTTTACAGAGGACATGCTCGTGTTGCCTTGGGCACTACCACTGTGGTCATGGCTTATTTCAGACTTCACCCACATCAGGATGTGCCACGCAAGGTTAAAGCCGCTTGTAGTAGGTGAGAAGATGGGGAGGGTTTTTGGTTAGTTGGTGCACTCAGTTTGGCCAGACTTCTACTGAGCCTTGCAGATAGAATTTGGGCAACACACTCAGCGTGTCCAGAGCTTTCCCTTGCTCTCTTGTTCCTGATTAGACTTTCACACCCTTCCATCACATACCAGACATGTATCTCAATACACGGTCAAAAATCCAGGTCCCTGAATATCGATTTCGTGTTTATCCAACGGGAGAGCCACGTTCCACTGCTTTTCCATCTAAATTGTGCGGAAAAAAATCTGAAAAGAGCCCTTAAAGTGGATGCATTTCCAAAGAATAACGATGATTGATACCTATTAAACATCTCTGTAGCCTCTGACATTTTGTTTTCAAGCCACAGAGACAGAAAGGCTTGGAAATTTTTAAGGCTTTTGCAGCATTTACGTGGTTTAACTAAGGAGAATCCAAAGATCTCACAAATTATGTGTGCATAGCAGCTCAGTACCTGAGACATCAGCATCATGGTATGAATCAAGCATGTACATAGATTGATAGTCTCAAAGCAGAAGGATTCACTCTTCACATTGTCTCAGAAACATTTCTGATATAATGCATGACTTGAAAAATCCTCTCCAAAATATTTTTCATAAAGCCCGGACCAGACTGGGGGTTGAAATAGTCTTGTATAAAACTTCTCCTGACCAACTCACAGATACCTCAGTCCTTCAAAACACAAATACTGACCTGATGGTATTCCCAGCATTAGAAAATGATCCACACCAGCCAAACAGTTTCCCTCCCTTTCTCTTGATTTATAACACCAATACCATTCTATTTTCCTCTCCTTTCTAGATCACTTCACAGTCTGCTTCTTGGCCTTTCTTGCCCTCACAGCCCTGCCCTGAGAAATGCTGATGTGCTGGAGCTCTTCAAATGGCCCTGGCCCAAGGCCAGCACATGAAGTGAGCAAGATAAAATGGACAAAGAAGGAGGAGAGGAGACATCGGCTCTCTAAGCTATGCCCTCCCAGACACACCGGTAAGGAGGCAGCAGCTCTGGGCCCATGGGAGCCATCAGTCTATTGGCTGCCCTTGCTTGGGATGACCCGGGGGACCCATGGGCCTTGTGAGACTCATGCATAACAGCATATCAAAAGGAATCACAGAACTTCAGAATTACAGAATTGTAGGGGTTGGAAGGGACCTCAAGAGATCATCAGGTCCAACCCCCTTAGCAGGATCCCTAAAGCGGGTTGCCCAGGTAGGCGTCCTGATGGGCCTTGAATATCTCCAGAGAAGGAGACTCCACAACCTCCCTGGGCTGCCTGTCCCAGTGCTCCGTCACCCTCACAATGAAGAAGTTCTTTCACATGTTGGTGCAGAACTTCCTGTGCTCATTTTGTGGCCATTGCCCCTTGTCCTGTCCCCACAAACCACTGAAAAGAGGTTGGCCACATCGCTCTGTCTCCCACACTCCAGGTATTTGTAAACATTGATGAGATCCCCTCTCAGTCTTCTTTTCCCAAGGCTGAACAGACCCAGGTCTCTCAGCCTTTCCTCACAGGGAAGATGCTCCAGGCCCCATATCATCTTTGTGGCCCTCTGCTGGACTCCTTCTAGGAGATCCCTGTCTTTTTTGTACCGGGAAGCCCAGAACTGGACACAGTACTCCAGGTGAGGCCTGACCAGGGCAGAGCAGAGGGGGAGGATCACCTCCACCTGTTGGCCATGCTCCTTTTGATGCACGCCAGGATCCCCTTGGCCTTCTCGGCCACCAGGTCACACTGCTGGCTCATGGCCAACCTGTTGTCCACCTGTCGTCCACCAGAAACCCCTAGGTCATTCTCTGCTGAGCTCCTCTCCAGCAGGTCATCCCCCAGCCCGTACTTATCCATGTGGTAGTTCCTTCCTAGGTGCAGGACTCTACATTTGCTCTTGTACACTTACTCTTCTTCATTGGGTTTCTTCCCTGAATCCTTCACCACTTCCACTGGCTGTGCTGGGGTCAAAAGGGTGTTTGTATGAACTTCATTAGCACCTGGATAATTAAGCACCTGCAGCCAGACAGCAGCTTCCAGCAGAAAGCAGAACTGGAGGGCAGCCCCACAGGGCTGAGAGCAAATGGGCACAAACTCAGCAAAACACAAAAAAGGGCATGTTTTGGGGGTCTGCCCCAGTCTCCTCCAGGTGCTGCCCGAGCTCCAGTCCAGTTGCAGCCCCTGGTACCCTCTTGGCCCAAACCAGACTCTCCAGAAGATTTTTGGGAAGTGTCACTTAGTTCACCCCATCCTTCAGGTCCTTACTTGTAACAGAAGGACTCTGTTTCTAAAGCAGGGGGATTATGAGGAGAAGACGGTGGTGAACTGGGAGGGGAGCAGGAGGGGGTGGCCACAGCCCTTCATCGTGAGGGGGTTGAGAGTAAAAGCCCCGTATCATGGAAACATCAGGGTGCGATTGGGCCTCAGGATGTGGGACCTACATTCCTGCCAGGAATAAACGTCCCAGAAGAGGAAAGGGTGCTGTTCTGAGGAGTTTGGACTAGAGGGAATGGCCTGAACTTGCACCAGAGGAGCTTCAGGTTGGAAATGAGGAGACATTTCTTCTCAGAAAGAGCAGTCAGGCATTGGAACGGGTTGTCAGGGAAGTGGTGCTGTCACCGTCCCTGGGGGTGTGTTTAAGGAAAAGTTGGACGTGGTGCTTGGGGACAAGGTTTAGTGGGTGACAGTGGTGGTAGGGTGATGGTTGGACCAGATGATCTTGGAGGTGTTTTCCAACCTTAATGTTTCTGTGATTCTGTGTTACACTGACGAGAGGCTAGAGCCTGAGCTGGAAAACGTCATGTGGAACATGTGGAACAAGGTCTTACCAGGCTGCAGTTTGCAACATCCTGCAGTTTTGCCACCTAACCTAACCCATAAAAGTGGCCTAGAAGAAAGCTGGAGAGGGACTCTATCAGGGAGTGTAGCCATGGGACAAGGAATAATGGCTTTGAACAAATGGAGGGGACATTTAGCTTGGATGTGACGTGAGGAAGAAATTCTTCACTCAGAGCACAAAGCACACATGGGAACTAGGGCTGAAGATGCACCTTGCTTCTGTTCTTCTCTGTAAAGAATTGAACAAAATTACCTAAAAAACCCAGGACACAGGATGGGAGGTGCAGGGCAGTCCCTGTGGTCAAGGGGCAGCCGTTCTCTCTGGCAAGCCAAATGGCCTGGGGGAGCCAGCCCCAGAAAAGGGGCCCTCAGCCCCCCAACCCTCCTCCTTCTTCCACGGGAGGGCATCTTCCAGGCCGCTCCCAACACAGCCGCCTTTGGCCACGCATGGGCCACTGCAGCGCAGAGGCTTGCTAAGGTCACAGTGGCCACCACTGCCCCGCCTTTGCTGCGGGCCCTATAAAACAGCCCCCCTGCAGCTGGCCCACCACTCGCTCAGCGACTAGGGCCTCTGACAGCCAGCGTACGTGGCAGGAAGGAGACGAGAAGCAGCAAGGCGAGAAGCAGCCCTGCTGGTGTGCGAGGACAGCAATGCCGTCCAAAGAAGCACCAAGAAGGAATGCAGCTAACAAGAAGGAGAAGTGTCATGGGCGGAGGGAGAGCGCCGGCAGCACAAGACACACCAGTGCTCGAGAGACCTCTGGCGCGCAGCCCACAGACACATTTCAGCGGTACCACTGGTACCACGACGACATGGGGAACAGGCCGCCCCCTCTAACATCCAGCGACAGGGGGCCTGGGCCTTCCCATAGGCACAACGGTGGCATGGGGCAAAATCAGGAGCATCAGGCAGACAGCTGTGGGGAGCAGAGGCATAGTGCAGAACGGAGCATGGGACCCAGCCATGGCCGTAAAACAGACGGCAGCATTGAACCCATGCGTGAAAATCAAGCTGACAGTGGCATGGGACCTCAGGGTGGAACTGGACGACCCCCTGGTTTGGCACCCTGGCCTGAAAACTTTCTGGATGGAAAGCATCCTGTTGGGGCAGTCCCAGGCAAAGACTGGCTTATCCTTCTGCCAAGGACTGTGGAGCCCATGGAGATGAATCCACCAGAAGATGTGGAGGAACAAATGGAAGTGGATCCATCTCCACCAGAACAGACCTGGGACTACCGCAGCATGTCGTTGCTCTCTTCCATGCAAGAGCACCAGCAGCATCACAGGAGTGCCCGGCCAGCTCCCTACTCATTGCTCAGGCTCCATCCCAAGCGTTAGCTTGGAGCCACCAAACACCATAGACATCTCACAGGCTTACCTGCAAGATGTCCTGGCAATAAAGAAATCTGTTGCCAATTCTCAGGGGTTGTGTGAGTGCTTCTTTCCCATCCCCCAGTCCTTGTGCGAGAGGTGGCATCCCTTCTGCACGGAGGCTCAAGGAGGAGCACAAGAGAGGACCCAGCTTCCTTCGTGCTGCTGCGCTGGAGTGACAGGAGGAGTCCCTGAGGGCCACCATGCACCTTTTACATCTGTGAAAATAGTCTGAGGGGTGCAAATTGTAGTGTGTAAGCGATTATAAGTGGCTAATTTCTTATATTTGGAGTATGTTCATAGACCTTCCTCTTCCTTTTGATCTTGTTGATGAGCTCCTTGCTCATCCACACAGGTCTCCTGCCTCCCTTCCCCGATTTCCTAGTCTTAGGGATCCTGAACTTGAAAGAAGTGCTATTTAAATGTTTCCCTGCTCTCACAAGCACCCTTGCCTTGTATCAATCTTGCCCATGAGATAACTCCAAATAGGTCTCAGGAGAGGTTGAAGTTGCCTCTCCGAAAGTCCATGGTAGAAATCCTACTGTTTGCCTTACTTCTTCCACCAAGTTCCATCTTGAACTCCATCATCTCATGGATCGCTGCATCCCAACACAGCATTTCAAAATCTGTAGCAGTCCAAAAATTCAAACATCAAACATCAGCAGAGCCGTGGCACTTCCCGTTCATCCACCGCAGGGCTTGAAACAGAGTTTGGCGTAGACCAGAGCTCAGGGAGAGGCACGGGAACTTGCAGCCAAACAGCAGGCAGCATGCACACAGCCTAATCTGATGAAAGCCCTATAAGAGAACAACGGCTACCGAGCTGGGAATCCCTGTTATAAACTGCTGAAAGTTACAGATGTGTGAACATGGCGGGGCCCTGCAAGAGACGTGGCTCAGAAAAGAGGCACAGATCTTCTAACACACGCTGCGGCGAAGCCCCGATGCCAAGCCCCCAGCGAGCTCTGTCACCTGCAGCCACTTGGGCTCTGCCCCTGCGGGCACCGCGGCCCTGGCTCAGGTGAGACATCCCCTGTGCTGCCCACTGTACCATGAAACCACAGTCCGGGGAGCAGGCTTCCCATTCCCATGGAAAGGATGGGGATTCATTTACCTCCAGTTCTCTACTTCATCCCACAACATGAATTACTATAAAAAATAACCCTTTTTGACACCTTCTCAGCTTCTCTGATGAAGGGGAATAAAACCCTACCGAGGCCTTGCCTTTCTGCATGGCTGAAGTGCTTTAGACACAGGGCTACCAGAATTGCAAGAAAGGCTCCAGGAGAACACCTCCTGGAAGCACAAGGAAGCAGCAGCAGAACACGTGGAGCCTCTGCTCCGGAGCTGGGCAGCACTGGTGCCCCCCGCTGCCTGCAACCTTGTGGCTGCCTCAGAGCAGCAGCCGAAATCACCGGCGCAGCAGCAGGTACAGGGCTTTTCCCCTCTGAGTTCCGCAGATGGCTGCAGCCATAGAAATAGTGCCTGCCTGTGGTTTCTGTGGGGGGTGGAGGGGACCAGAAGAATTGACTGGGAGCCAGTTCCAAGAAACCACAAGGAACTGATATCTGGGCACCATGGTCAGTCCACACAGAGCACAGTATTTGGTGGCCAAACAGAAAAGTTATTCAGAGCCATCTCCCCAACAAACAAGAATTATGCGAATGGCTGGATGAATAGGGGCACTTACAGGGCTCTTTGCACAAAGGAATCGGCCACTAACTGCCAATCGCCTCAGGACCAAGTTGCCTTTAAAGAAACCCAGCACGAGGCTATAAAATAACAAATGCGATGCACATTTCATTTCAAGAAGCAATTCCAGATAGAAGTTCTCCAGTTTACTTTCTAAAACTCTCAACTACCACTTGTTAGCTAGTAAATAACCCTCTCTGTCCCTCACGCCATGGGGAGGAAATCCCTCACCGCAGCCTGTCCCCAGCACCCTCAATATGTGACATGTTGGTGTGCATCCAAGCTAGCCAACAGCAAAACCCCATTCCCCACTTTGTATGACAATCTAGTCAACCTTAGCTGGAAACCACATTCTCAGGAGACACCATCTGCAGAGCCCAGCCAGCAGGAGGAGGGGAAGGGGGTTCTACGTGACAGGGGCCCAGATCCCCTCGACAAGGGCTGGCGTCCACAGATGGAAAAGAAGCTCCTATTGCCTCTGCTCAGCAGCCATCCCCAGGGATACCTCTGTGTTTCAGGGTTGCCCATACAGTCTTCAACTTCTCAAGAGCTGTGGAGGCACAAAAAAAATCTGAAAATACATGGAGTGTTTCCTTCAAAGTAGAAGATTTTTAAATTGAAGCCAGTTATGGACTTAGGCTTTTCCCAAATGTTTTAAACTTCCATAAAATAGCAGTGACCACCCACCCTGCCTTTCCTAGTGGCTGTCCTGATGGCGAAGGGAAAACAAACAGGACCACAATGCTCCCAAGACAGTCCCCAGCTAACAACATCCTTCAGGATTTCTTTCCAACAGCATGAACAGCAATCAAGCAAAAATCAGGAGAAAATCTAACATCAGTGGCTCTTTTCCTTCCCCCTGCAAGACAAACTAACCCCAGAAGCAACACCAGGCAGCTCAAATTAGCTTTCTCCCTAGCCCCTTAACGGAAACATCAACCGACTCCTCTCTCCTCTTCATTATCAGCAACCACCCTCACTCTCAGAGTCACTGCACGGCACCTGGGACCTGCTCCATGTCCCAGAGATGTAGGAGACCCTTTAGCCAGAGCAGAGGCTCCCCCAGGGCCCCACAGAAACACCCTTGCCTGGAGCAGGAGAGGACACCTGTAGAACTGTTTCTAAGCTAAATCTAATTATTTACAGGAACATCTACTTTCATCAAAGCAACTTCCCTCAAAACACTGAAACTTTTTCTCAAGCTTTTTTTCCTGGTTTCCTCTATACTGGGCAGCCCTGGGTTCACCAAGAATTTTGCATGACTGATGGACATGCGATTTAACTCTTCAGAAGAGGTGATAATCTTTCTCTTAAAGTTACCCTTATCTTGGTTGCGTCTTTAGGAGTGACCAGATGCAAACAGATAGCAATAGTTAAAGGAAGTCACTAATCCTAAGCCAGGCCCCAGGGAGCAATGTGCACCCCGCTCTGGTCTGTCCAGCAGAGCCGAGGCGCCAGGAGCAGCTCTGGGGCACACTGACCCACAGCTTACCGAGCGTCTGCTGGTTGCGAACCCCACCGATCACCACGCAGATCTCTGCTGGCACGTCTCCTGGCCCATCTTTTATATTCTTCTTCGAATCTTTGGCATCATCCTGCCAGATCACCTCTTCGATGTAGTCATCTGGTACCTCTGTTTTCACCTTCACCTCAGTCATCATTCCAGCCTCTTCACTGGGTGAGGACTGAGATGTCACCGAATCGGAGCCCTCTCCTTTTGGGCTCCGTGGGCTCCTCTTCAAACACTCCCTGAATGGGGGGAAAAGAAGAGAAACCATGAATTCTCATTTTCAAACACTCACATTTAATGAGTGGGAATTCGGTAAAGATATTTTTGTTTAATGCAATTATTTTAAAATGTGGCTTATTTTAAAATATGGTTAGGTATGGGTGCCGCTCATATAAATGAACAATAATTACATAATAGTAAACAATTAAAACTTAACCAGACAAAAGTAGTAAAACCACTTGCCAGTTATGAAAATAACCTTACTCATCACTAACAACACTATCAGTCAAAACCAGCCCAATTCAGTGAGCAGGAGCACAGAACTTCAGATGGCTCCTAGTAGGTCCATGACAACAACTCCAGCAGTCCAAACAATGACTATTGTGCCAAAAGTAGTCCACACATGCAGAAGAAACATCATTTGCTCCCAACATTTGTAATTTGGAGCTATCTCTGCCCCTGTGCATTCCTCCGTGCGTTAATCTACTGTTGCATCCTCTCTTAAACCTTCAAAGCAACCTAACTCTCATCCTGTGGTATTCACATGGCCTTATTTTACATATACAGTGACGATCAAAGAGGTGATATAGAGTGATGATCATATAGTATGATAACAACTTCTATGGAGGCTATTAATTTATGGGCAGATGCAAGTATTGAAGATGACAGGGAAAGTGTAGTGGGCAGGGAAAGATGGAGGACGAAAGGATTTAGGAGCAGATGAACAAAATAGTGAGAAAACTCAAAATTAACAGAAGAAAAGAATCAAAACAAAATACATAAATTCCCACACCCCCTAAGAAAAGGAAGGAACCTGGACAACCCAAAGCTGCAAGGCAATACCAGCAACTTCAAATGTGCTGAGGTGGCAAAAGACAAAGGGATTTAGAGCACATTAGACAAGAACCAAGTATTAACCCAGTGTAGCTCCTTTTCCAAGTGCACCATCCCATCATTCTTTATGGGCTCCCTGTTTGCAAGACTGACTATTAATAAATTCTAACATGCAATGCAAAAATAAAATAATTGCTGGTTCAGTCTGTGCAGAAATCAGAACTAAATTTATAATAATATCCTAGACTACACAAAACATGAGATTTTAAAGAGTATGAGACATATTTAGAGTCATATTAACACTAGGAACAGCCAGCAGTGTTTGAAAAAGTTATAAGCGGAAGTAATAGACAAAATTAAGTGACAAATAGGCTGAACTTATGGATTGGAGTTATTAGACCATGCGATGGCAAAAAAAAAGAAGTAAATCCCATTCCTTGGAACATCATAGGAAGTCAGAACAAAGCATAAATTAACATGATATAAAACTAACTCCTGCAACGCTTTCGGATTCTGGTTATGAAGCTGGAAGACAAATCCAAATGTTGCAACTGAAGAAGGCGCTCAGCGGGTAAGCCTGGGAGGCTGGAGATGAGAGGAGCAGATGAAGGAAGAGAACAATCTTTTGCAGTAATTACTGCACAACCTCCTACACAGACATGTAGCTGCTATTTCAGAATGGGTCAATCACATCGTATCACCAGATATTTTATTATTCATCGTTTCATTCTCATTATGGAATGAAATGTGCAATTAATAGCCCCTAAACAGAGAGAATTAGCCTTGACCTGCCTCCCCACTCATTCCCATCCTCCTCACACATGCTTCCCCCCATGCTCCCAAAATCATCCAGGGCTTTTACAAGTGAGAAAGATGAATTAAGACAGAGAAAACGTGGCTGAAAATTGGAAGTTCTTTATGGTAATATTATTGGACGTCCAAGAAGGTCCATCAATCTCACCAGACAGCAACATGGCTGAGTGCCCGCTCCAAAGCCGAAGCAAAGGCAGCAGCCAGGAGTGAGAGTGAAAAGGGTAGGATCAATTGTAAATCAATCAGACCAGGAAGGTGTGAAATGCAAAACACTGATAAAGGCAGCAAAAGCCACGGGTTCTGGGGACGAAAATCCCTCCCTTAATGGGGGAAAGGGAGGAAAACCAAAATCAAAGAACTACAATTCTCACTGTTAGGCAGAAAGGTAAAAGCAGTCAGTAAAAGCCGGTTTTGACCTAAAATGAAGGCGAAATGGCTCAGTTATTGATGGCACAGCAACCTGTACTTGCCAATCCCAGACAGAACAACATAAAAATCAATGCAGGAGCTAAGTGATGTGGAATTAAAAGCTTATACAGCTAGCAGTGAGACTAAGGATAGTGCTTTCTGAGCAGATCATAAGTTTGGTGGGAATAACAGAGATCTTCTGACAGTGCCCAGCTTTATGTCACATTCAGACAAAATTTATCAGCAGTACATGGTCCAGAGAGAGCAACAGGTCACATGCTGTAAGGCAAAATGCTATCCTCAACCTGTAGTGCTCCTGAGCAGAGGGATTTCCACAGGGCTTCCCAAGTGGTTGACTTGAGGCAGATTTATTCACCGTGCTCTGGAATTAAATTTAAAACCATTGCTGCCCAAATTTATTGCTGACTGAAGGAGGTGTGGGGGATGGAGAGCAGTGACTGTGAAAGGGACACCAAAACCAGTGATCCCAGTCACTCTGTCAACTGAACCTGCACAAGCCGAGTAGTTTCAGCGAAGCAAAATGTGTCCGGGAACGTGGTGCCCCCATGGACATGAACCCAGTGCTCACACACAGCCCCCCAGGCAGGTCGCTCCGCAGTCAAAGATCCACGCTGTGGCTGAAAGGACTAACGTGACTTCTGGATACATGTGCGTGAGAGCAGAAAGATGTAATATGGAGGTAATTTTCTCTTTGCACAAAGCTGCGGCAAAGCCAGCTCCAGTGCACTGCAGACAGGTTGAACTCCCTTGTTTTTAAAAGGTGATTAGCAAAGCTGGAGAGGGTTCAAAAAGAGGCACTCAAATGGTTCAAGACTGGGAAAAAATGCTTTATGACTTTAAAAGACCAAACAACTTCATGCTGCTTCTCATGCCAAAAGGCAGACTGAGAGATGATTTGATTGCAGCGTATTATAATCTTCATGGGGAGAAAATACTGTCTTTCCTTAATTTGGCAGGGAAAAGTAGAGAGAGAGCTCATCACTGGAAGCTGGAAACAGTTGAAATGAGGCATAAAATGTGAGCACTGATGGTGGTCCACTGGAACAACCATTTTCCAAAGGATGTGCTCAGGCAGAACAAAACTCTCAAAGGCTCCAAAACCCAGGGCATCTGCATCTGGCCAGCCCCAGGTTAGGGGGCTCGGTACACATGTGCTGGCCAGAGGTACACAGGTGCCCAACTTAGTGGCCAGAAGCTGCAGGAAGATGTAAGCAAGTAGACCAGACTAATGGACTCTCTGAAACTTTGCTCCTGACACTCACCGACCTTCTGGATCCATCTCTGCCAAGAAAGTAGCTTCCCAGTTGGGAAGTCTGCTCTTAGGTGGGACCTAAATCTGCAAGTATTAATTAAAAGCAATCCATTCCTCTGACATTGCCCCATATGTTACAATCCTGATCAGATACTCAGTGTAGAGGAAACCAGCCCAAAATGTTTTTGCAACTGTCTTCTGCATGATTTTGGAGCATGGAAGCTCTGAGAGAAGCCCATAAGCCCTCTCAAAAATAATAATAATTTTTAAAAAGCAGCACTACTGGATTTTCAGAATCAAGACCCTCTCTGTCTTCTGACACTTTCTAGGAGCAATGAGAGCAGCAGCTAGCAGAGGTACCCAGGTGTCATGGAAGTGAAGCTACAGCCCCCAGTGCTTCTCGTCGAGCACCCTGGCATCGCCTGCACAGTGGTGACCCTGTGGTGAGGTCTATGCCCAGCCACGTCCCGCTCACATGCCACATCTAGGGAGAGAAGGGAATAAATGATGAACACTAACTACAAGAGATTTTTTTCAGTATATATATATATGCTCCCACTCCTGCTGCCACTGCCCCAGGACACACCTTCACCTCCAGCAGCCCGAGGTGCTGGTGTTTTACTGAGTAAGCCAGATCCTGTTTCAGAGCACTGAGGGCTCCAGAGCCCAGACTACACAAGCCAAAATGCAGAGAATGCCACCCTAAACACAAGCACGCTGCAAGGAAATGCTGTGTTGCGTTTCCCTTGTTGAGCTGCATGTGGCTGAAATTAGTCCCACACCCCTGACAGCAAATTTATCTTCTTCATGACTGTTGCTGTTTTGCTTAAGAAGGAAGAGCTGTGTTCTTCTATTACTCTTATAATTTCACATCCCACAGATATTTTCCAGCTACTGGCTGATGCCAAGCTTTAGCCAAGCTTCAGCTGCAGATTCACCCCAGCTGAATATCTACAGGAGCACAATGGTTTTGCAAAATACCTTCACATAAATGTAACTGAAGGGCAATATGGTCCCAGCCCACCTTCCCTCTCCTACGGATGTACTCTGCAGGGGACAGAGGAGCCAGCAGACTGGGATTACTTCACGTGATGCGTGATGAGGGCCCTGAAAACAGCAGGTGAAGGCAGCAGCCCCCTCCTATCTTCCCTTGTACTTCTACACCCACAGATTGAGAATATCTTCCTCATTTTTACTCTTACAGCCTCTGAGGGACTGACAGTAAGACTATGTGGGATAACTTGTCTCAAGACCACAAAACAAGATCTTGACTTGGGTGGTGGGGCTGACTTGCAAACAGTGGCAATGAGAGTGGTCCCTAAGGGCATAGCAACGATCACCATTTTCATGGTGACTGTCCAGTGACAGACTCGATCTGCTTGGAAACAGCAACCAAAAAGCTCCCCAGGCATGAAGACCCAGGCATGAAGGTCCCTCTTCAGGCCAGGAGTAGCAGGGCTGACAGACGGCTGCTGTTGTAGATCCACCTTGACAGGAAGGAGGCAGAAGTTGCGTAGGTGGTCTGGAAATCCACTTAGTTGGCTTAGTAGTCAACATGGTCTTCTACATCCATCTCCCAGCACTTAGCCACCAGCGCAGCAGGAGGCTGTGGGCTGCACTTGAAAAAGAAACAGGGCCGTGGTGCTACTTCATCCAACAGCGCAGCACTGAAAACACTGGGCTCAGGCCTGG